CTAGATTACATTGATATCGAAGGAACTAGATTCTGTTCCGAAATATCGCATACTCGAACCGACCAGACCGCGTAGCTCAGTTGGCAGAGCATTGGGCTAGCATTCCAAAGGTCGTAGGTTCGATTCCCACCGTGGTCAGGCATATTTTTCAAGCTTGCCCGGTGTGGATATACACTCAGAGTGACATCACAAGCATCTTATTCACCTGAGTACATTACACCAACACAGCAAATATCATTGCTATTTTTATTAGATTGCTGACGACCTAAGAGGTTTGGGACGGAAAGACAATTAAAACTGTAAGTACATATATGTAACATATACTACATTGATATCCATTATATCTAACCAAATTTGTAGTTGGTTATTTGCAAACGAACGTTTACCGATACTTTTTAGTATATATACTAAAAAATATCAATAAGTGTTCATGCTCAATCTCATCCTCGTTCCCAGGGCTTCTCGGCTGCCTGCTCACACTCATGATAAAAGAACGGAGGTTCAATCTGAGCTTCCCTTGAGTTTCTGTGCCCTTTTTTTGAATAGCTGGAGGGCTAGTCCCGTACCTTACTATGTGACTACTCGCAGCAGCCGAGAAGCCCTGGGAACGAGGATGGCTCAATCTTCAAGATTGTTACTATATTGTGACGTCACACAAGGTTCCTAGTCTTTTGCGCCGACGCGAGCTTCAGGACGAGTATAACAGTAACTATATGTCATATGAGTCACTCGCTACGCGCTTTATCAACGCTCTGCCGAAAGTCGTGTGTTTTTCCCTCCGCAGGGAAAGTTGACAAGGTGGGTTAGGACAAACACATTTGGGAAAGCAATATCTCAAACTCATTAATAATTCATGACCTCGGGTTCGCCTCGGACTTGATCAAATTGCGCGCAGACTTGAAATCTACTCCAGTCCTCACAGTCGGATTTGAAATATTACATCACAATTGTTGCGAAGATAAACAGTCTAGGCTATAAGTATATGTAATATACTAACATTTCGTTGCTTCGTGGAAACATTTTAAAGACACTGGAAATACATGCTATGCACATTAAGAGGAGAATCTTTTGTATGTTACGTCAGACGCGCTCAAAACTAATGAATTTACTTTTCCATTTTGTTATGACTATCTTCGTATTTTTTTATTTTTGATATGTTTCTCAAGCGGCAAACAAACTTAAAAAGTAAGTTCAGTGCTTTATCTGTAAAATTATGCTAAAATGAAGAGACTTTAGATAGTATGCCAAAGAGAAAATGATGTCTGAAGTTCAGTAAGTTTTGCTTATATTGCTAATATGGCGTCAATTTTACAGCATCATTACATCAATGATAATTGTATTGAAATTGGCAGTATTTAACTATTATTTTGACTTTCTCAAATATGCGAGATTGACTCCTAATACAGCTATAGAGTCTATAGTATAGACTGTCTCATTCTTCTTCGTGATTGCATCGGTATATAAACATGGCAATTTCATTAATTGTTTCGATCACTTACTCAAGACTTTCGTAACTCTTATTACGACCTCCGAATATAACTCTCGTATATAATTCAATTCTTCACCTATTTAATTACCATCCAATATACAAATCCTTTAAGATAAGGCTATGGGCACCAGGCCTCAAAATAAGTGCCGGTCACGGACCGGTAAAATTTCACAGTTTAACCGGCAAATATCGTCGCCTGGCGGACATGCGTGACCGGTAAATGTTTAATAAATAAGTACGTTCAAAACTGGAGCAGATTTTTGATTTCCAATTTTCCAAAGAAGTGTATGGACCGTCTACTGTGCTGGCTAATAAGAGCGGCGAGGTGACACATTTTGCCATACAGATACGATATACCACAAGCATTGTGCCTAAGGGCTGTTTTCCAGTTATGCGTTTTTCACACGTGCGACGGAAAAGTTTAAATCTTTTAAAATTTCATATAAGTGCAAATAACCTTAACAAATACACATTAAGTCATACACAAAACTGAACGCTGTCCTTTTATAAATTTAGTTATTTCATAAGTAGGATGTAAAGCGATTTCAACTTTTACGTGCGTGTACACACATATGACTGAAAAACGCGTAACTGGAATGCAGCCTTAAAGCGTGCTTGCTTCTCAAACTACAATCATCATTTGCGACTTAATATATTAATTTGCTAGTAAACAATGTTAATGTTATTAGCAATGATTACTACTACAGCTTTGATAAACACCATACTTCTACTTTTTATACAAATGGGCTACAATTAAAATACACAATTGTTTCTAAAGTTACGAGTCACGCGAAAGATGAGGGGGGAAAAGAAGCTAAGGAGTGACAATGACCGGCATAAATTCCGCTGTGACCGGTAAATTTAGTGGTCCACCGGACATAATGACCGGTATAACATCCAGATTTATTTCGAGGCCTGAGTCTATGGCAGTATAAACAAGATAGTGTTATTTCATGCATGCATAATGCAACCAATTATATATATAAAGCATTTTTTTTTAATAATATAAAACAGTTACCGTGAAGTATTTCTTATCTCTACTTTCAATCGCCAAACCATTTAACACCTTTCGAAACTCTTCTTTTCTAAATTACCAATCGATGCAAATCATTTTAGAGAGACTATTATATAACAAGATTAAAGTTCTATTTCATTCTTCAGTAAATTACATAAACACGCTCAGCTATACCGCTTAAAGTTACCGCGTAATAAGATTAAATCATTTTTATTCTTTACTCAATTAAACTAAACATGTAAAGCTTTTATCTTTCAAAACATCGTGTTTTTTTAAAGGTTCCGCAAAATAAGATTAAAAAATTTTTGATTGTGTTACATTATCATCGTGTCACGCCTTGGTTATTTTCTAATAACCCAATTTCTTTACCCTAATTTACCTTAATTAAGCGTGGTCATTGTCTTTCTGTAATTATCACGTGTTTTAAGTGTTGGTTTAATTACTTGTTTTCGACTTTTTGAATGAAGGGAGGTTATAATAATTACGGCTTAAAGTTATTAGACATGTCAATATAATATATGTAGGTTCATACTAGTAGATTTTATTTTTGTGGAGGTAGCCAATCTTCAAATGGAGCTATAGGCTATGCCACATTCTCGTACCCAGAGCCCGTCTTACACGCGGTCAACAGAGCATGACAAGGGTCAAGGGGAACGAGAATGGTTGCGACCTCGCAACTGCAGATCAAAATTTAGCCTCTGAACGAGAACAAAATACCAAGTGTGCCGCTAGATAACTAGCTCCTGATGATTTTTGGAGTTCGCAACACAGCAAGCAACTTCAGGCTTACATACCTAGCGGTTAGGCTGGCTCGCTGCACACACTCTTTGAAGTTGGGCAGTAACTCCTGCTTAGATACCTAGCTTTTTCATGATTTTTGGACTTATACCTATCTCCGAATGATTTTTGCAGTTAGCCAGTAACTCCACAATTAATATTTCAACTCAGTTGGTTTTGAATCACACAAGTTACTTAAGTGTATCAGTCTTTTGGTTTGGAGTTAGACCTTTAGACTTTGGAGGTTAGCGTCGCTCCATTACTTTCTACAGGCATATGTAGACTTTGCATGCAGTTCATGGTAGCTGAGATTGACAATATAGGTATATTTGGGAAGGGCAAATGATGATCATGCTATATACAGTTATCATCTCTGAAACGGATATTTTCTGCATATGGTATAGAGGCAATTGGGGAAAAATGTAAATGCCTTTAATTCTTTATAAATGACCTTTTAACAGTGTCCAATATTGATTTCAGAATACCTGACAATTTAATTCAGTAGGAGTCTTCATACGAGACTACTGCCCTCATTGATACCAGTGATACACATCACTGAAAAGGTTACCCTATACGGAAGTAACAGTGATTTGACTTCAAAGTCATGCTGCACGTAGATTCGAAAGGGTTGTGCCAGAGTAGGTCATATGACAATAACACCAGAGTGATTCAATTATACACACGTTATAAAAGCGCACAAGTTGTTACAGGTCTGCAAACAAGTTGTTACAAATAATGTCCACAAGTGTCGACAAGTTGTGTTCGCACCGCTTGTTCCCAGTTGTTGTATAAGTTTGGAATAAGCTGTTAACGTCTTGTAACAAACTTGATGGCATTATCAGACTTGTTACAAGGTTGTTCTAATAAGTCTGATACAGTCATGATATAACAAGAATGTCACAAGGTTGTTCTAACAAGTCTGATACAGTCATGATATAACAAGAATGTTACACGGTTGTTCTAACAAGTCTGATACAGTCATGATATAACAAGAATGTCACAAGGTTGTTCTAACAAGTCTGATACAATCATGATATAACAAGAATGTTACAAGGTTGTTCTAACAAGTCTGATACAGTCATGATCTAACAAGAATGTTACAAGGTTGTTCTAACAAGTCTGATACAGTCATGATATAACAAGAATGTTACAAGGTTGTTCTAACAAGTCTGATACAGTCATGATGTAACAAGAATGTTACAAGGTTGTTCTAACAAGTCTGATACAGTCATATATGATATAACAAGAATGTTACAAGGTTGACGACACAAGGTTGTAACAATGTAGTTATATCATAACCGTATCGGACTTGTTGGAACAACCTTGCAACAGATCTGATAATATCAACAAAGTTGTTACAAGTTGTTAACAGCTTGTTCCAAACTTGTTGACAACTTGGGACAAGCAGTGCGAACACAACTTGTTGACGGCTTGTTGGCAGACTTGCTGCAGACTTACCTTGGGTTCAATTCCAGTCAATTTGCAATTGTCTCATCATTGATCTTGGCTAAGCCACTTGTGAGAAAACTATTTCCGGCCACTCATAATAGCTAAGCACGAAAGGCTTTATGCGAGTCCTCCATTTGCTCTTGTAACCCTGGACCTTCTAATGAAACTGGGAGAACAGTTCAGAACTGCTTGATTGGGCTGATGTCCAGTATAAAGAAACATTCGGTTTTCAGTTAATAAGAAACCACACTACAAAATTTCAATATTTTCGTGCAATGGCAGAAATGCCAGCATATTTATTATTATTATTTTATTTGCTATTTTCAAATATATTCTATCTAACTACCATGCACTTATGGAAAGCATATATATATATATATATTCCACACAATATCCGTCTACCTCAATGAACTCTATATATTCCTCAAGTAATGTATAAGATATACCGATAAATTTTAAAGCCTTAATAAAACCATTGAACTATGTATTGAATTTTTCAGTACACACGTAAAAATCTCGTCAACAACATGTGTTCGCAACAGGCTTGTAGCAAGCTTGTCAACAAGCTGTAACACTGTTGTTATTTTATCAAGTTGTTGCTTGTTACCGTCCTGCAATTCAACAATTTGTCAACAAGTTATGAGTGACAACATTCACAACTTGTTGACAAATTGTAGAATTGCAGGACGATAAAAAGTTGTTGGAACAACTTGTAACAAGGTTGTTGAGCTCAGCAACCTTGTAGCAAGTTGTCAACAAGCCGTTGACAACATGTCAACAAGCTGTGAACAAGCAGTGCGAACAAATCCTGTTGACAAGTTTTTGGAACAGCATTGCTACAAGTCTACTGCAGGTTTGTTACAACTTATGCGTGTTTTTATGTAATACCCTTACTGTTCTCAATAACGATTGTTCCTATATGCTACTATCACTCTATAAAATCAACAATAATTTGTCTATTTGTGTCAATCACTTGATGTAGTTCACGAGAAACATTGATACTCAGCAATCTCTTGGTAGTCACAGCCCTCGTTACAGCACTCTTCGACCGCAGCAGTACCGCTGTCGGCCCCAAGACCGCGCTTCCGTATTGCACCCAGGAAATTCTTGGCCACTCTCGATGGCATCAAAGGATTACCTGTGGGTAGAAGCAACATCGGTATGAGTTGAAGGACTTTGTATAGATGCGTATTTTGAGCGAATTCTATATGTACTATTTACAACATGAGCGGCCGTGTTGTATCGGATATACAAACTCGAGCCGAAGGCGAGAGTTTGTATATCCGATACAACACGGACGCGAATGTTGTAAATGGCTTAAAAAACGACTCATCTTATGAGTTCATTGGCGAAGTAATTTTAAAAATAAACGTTGTCTAAGCCGAGAAAATCACAGTTAAAGTTTATGTAAATCAACATGAATCTGTATCACATATACAGACTCCTTCACGCCCATGATTTCTTTTGTGTTTTCTTCATGAATTATTAATGAGTTTTTTAAACACATTTTAGACCGCGCCTTTTTTCAGTAAGGGCACATGCTGGGAACCCCTCTGCCCTAATATTTCAACTCCCACCTCCCAATTAAGGTGTGTACTCTTACCCTTTAGTTACCCAGGTTACCCCGTGCACCTTTTACCCACCTCTTCACGACCTCCATCCTACGTGCAGATGTGCATCCGCACTCATGGCCATGCTGGGACAGGCTGGGCACCTTGCCCTCCATTATTTCAACCCCACCTCCCAGCGTGAATCCTTACCTTTAACCCATCCCAGATTACTCCTTGCACCCACCTCTTTTTAACGACTTTAATCCTACCCTCCCAACTCATGACCATGTTGGCCACCTCGCCCCCTACTATTCCAACCCCCACCTCCAAGTTAATCTGTGCACCCTTACCCCCTTCACCCACCTCTTCTCTCCAGGGCCTCAATTTTGCCATCACTTGAGGCCATACTGGCACACTTTGGGTAACCATAATCGCAGCAATCCTGATAGGCCGCGATAAAATCGTTGCCACATAACTTATATAATTCGCCTGGTTTGTTTTGTTCCCTCGCAAAAGTTGTAACCACGAATATTGACAGCAGTATTGTCGTGAACGCGATCAGTGTGTTTAAAGCCATATTTCCTAGAAAATGAAATCAAATACATATGAATAAAGCCATGGTCAAACGAGAACAAGAGTTGCATCAGAGTTGACAAGCGATAGTTTACATGAGAGTTTTCTCAACTTTCATTGCTTGATCAAACGAGAACAAACTAGAACAAGAGTTGCATGAGAGTTGAGAAGCGAGAGTTTACATGAGAGTTTTCTCAACGTTCATTGCTTGGTCAAACGAGAACAAGAGTCGCATGAGAGTTCAGAAGCGAGAGTTTACATGAGAGTTTTCTCAACATTCATTGCTTGAACAAACGAGAACAATAGTTGCACTGAGAGTTGAGAAGCGAGAGTTTACATGAGAGGTTTCTCAACATTCATTGCTTGATCAAACGAGAACAAGAGTTTCATGAGAGTTGACAAGCAAGAGTTTACATGAGAGTTTCCTCAACTTTCATTGCTTGATCACTCAAAACTTAGAATTTCATGCAAAAGTCCTACTGTAATAACACAAACTTCGATAGTATAAACCAGGTTTAAAACTGTATCATCTCTTGTCGTAAATTGTGATATGGTATAAATTTCAAGATAATTGATGTAATGATACTAAGAATAACAACATTTAGGCTTTATCAATCTGCTGTTACCATGAGGTGCATTTACGTTGGAGAAAACGCCCAGTTTAATTCTAATTTCACGACCAAATTACCCACCAGCGACCATCTTGTTGACTACACAATTGCTGTACTGTTACTATCTGCTGCTTGTTTACCCGACGAGCGTTTGAGATTATAATTTCAGGTTGTGAAAACGTATTTCGTAATAGCTTTGTCAAGAGGGAGGAAGTTATATCACCTCATAAAGAAATGTAATATTGCGACCTTACAAAGTCTTTGTCTGGCTGGCTTGTGTGGGCTATGTTCCAGTTCAAAAGTACTTCGGTAACTTTTTCTATATATATGGCATGTAAAGCGTGCGTGTCGTTGAGTACGTCTCCAATATATGACTGAAGTACCAACTTCCCAAGCTAGGGGGCGTTCATAAACTAACTTTACATACTGGATGCCTTTATCATGTCTAAATTGTTAATCTCCCCATTGGTCCTGTTACAACGGTCCTTAATGGTCCATTAATGATACTCTACAGCAGGAAACCTACACTAAACTAACTTTATTTATACTGGATAGCTCTATCAGTTCTAAACTGTTCTTCCTATAGAAGTCCAGTAAGAGTAATTCCTTATTAATCCAGTGTTACTACATACAGGAGCAAACATAAACTAAACTAAGTTTATTGATATGGGATAGATAGCTCTATCAGTTCTAAACTGTTCTTACTAGAGGTCCAGTAAGGGTCATCTCTTATTGATTAACTAACTTTATTTATACTGGCTAGCTCTGTCAGTTATCGGAGGTCCAAGGTCATTCCTAGGTGATCCAGTTTGCTACAATAAGAATCCAGAGTTTCCAAAGAAATCGTGCGTTGTTTTGCAAAATTTTGAGATATTTCTTAGTGATATAGAGAGTGTTTGTTTGGCAAATATGGCTCTTTGATTCCACGCATTTGCGCCAACTCTTTGTCATGTGTAAATATAGACACAACATCCGCATTATTTAAATGTTTAAACTGAACGAAAAAAAGGTTAGACTTCTAAAACATTCCAGAAGTCTTGGCGTGACAAAGAGCCACTTCACTTAAAATCTCTGGACAATGTCAAAGAGCCAATCCTAAGATTCTTGTAATAGATATGCGGTTGTTTAATTAGTAACACTGGATAAATAAGTGATGATCCTTACTGGACCCCTAGGAAGAACAATTTAGAACTGATAGAGCTATCCAGTGTAAATAAAGCTAGTTTAGTTTAGGTTTCCTCCTGTAGTGACACTGGATCAATATGAGATGATCCTTACTGGACCTCTAGGGAGAACAGTTTAGAACTGATAGAGCTATCCAGGATAAATAAAGTTAGTTTAGTTTAGGTTTCCTCCTGTAGTAACACCATAACCTGCAAATATCCACCCCACTGTAGCTTTATCTCGTCATTTATAATGCATTACGAATTCTTGTGCAAACATGTGGGCTGGCACAAATTGAAGTGTAAACAAATTAAAATAAGCTTAAATTATTTGTCAAACCTATAGATCAACAACGACTATCTGTCTCTAATTAATTCCCACAGTAACATGTCGAATAATGCCCTTGGGCTGGGAGAATCTTATAAACTATGATAAACCAGAAACGAAGTTATTGGACATCTAGGCTGAGCTCGATTTTACTGGATTGTGAAAGGTTTTGTAGATGGAAATTTCGAGTACGAATTTTATACATTTATTGCACCTAAACAGGAGCAGTTGTGAAAAATGTAGGCCCTCTGGGACGTGCGGCCCTGTGATTCCGGTGCAGCGCTCTAACCAACTGAGCTACAGAGAGACAGTTGTCAAGCTCTAACCAACTGAGCTACAGAGAGACAGTTGTCGAGCTCTAACCAACTGAGCTACAGAGAGACAGTTGTCAAGCTCTAACCAACTGAGCTACAGAGAGACAGTTGTCAAGCTCTAACCAACTGAGCTACAGAGAGACAGTTGTCGAGCTCTAACCAACTGAGCTACAGAGAGACGGTTGTTGAGCTCTAACCAACTGAGCTACAGAGAGACGGTTGTTGAGATCTAACCAACTGAACTACAGAGAGACGGTTGTTGAGATCTAACCAACTGAGCTACAGAGAGACGGTTGTTGAGATCTAACCAACTGAGCTACAGAGAGACGGTTGTTGAGATCTAACCAACTGAGCTACAGAGAGACGGTTG